CAGGACAACGTGCAGCGCCGCCCGTCCCCACCATCACCTTGAGGCACGGCGCAGCCCCACCGCGCGCGCGCGGCTCTCCCGCCTCCGCGCGCGGCCTTCTGGGATTCGTAGTCCTCCCGCAGAACGAGCCCGAGCTCTTACCGCGCGCGTGCGCGGTGTCGCTCTCGCCCCCCCCCCCCCCCCCCCGGATATGACGTCTCCGCGGTAGAGGCGTCGCTTCCGCAAACAGGATGGCGGAGGGCCGCGCTGGGTGAGCGGCGCGCGTCTTTCTCAGCGGCCTAGCGGCGGCGGCGGGCAGACAGACAGTAGTGCGGGGAGACGGGCGGCCGTTAGCTGTGGGCCTGACGGTCAGCCGGGGCGGGAGGCAGCCACGCCGCTGGGAAAGCAGCTTCCGTAACTGCCTGGTTGGGGAGAGCGGGCCCTGCTTGCTAAGAGTGGCGTGGAGCCTCGGTGAGCCCTGTGGCAGGGATGTGCTGCTCTGCACCGGGGGTTACGGGGGAATTCAGACGCGGCTGAAGGCTCCTGGTGTCAGTGAGGGCATCGTGGGTGCTCTTGGTAAAGTTCAGGATCCACGACTGCTGTTGAGAATTCCTTTCTATAAAGCGTCCTGATTTCTGTGTTTGATGGAAATTACGTGACATTAAAAGATAAGCTTATTAATTTGAAGCGTTCCGTTGGTTTGTGTGTTTCTAAATATAAAGTGGCTTGTAGGTTATGTTCTGGAAGGAAGAGGATGGTTATGGTCTCAAACCCAATGAAACTTAGGAGGTTAATCAAGAAAGATAGCTATGGTAAACCATTACTGTAATCAAGAGTATGTTAAATTCAGTGCTAATGGTAGATCTTTTTTCTCTGTAGTTTATTTTGATCAACAGGTAGGGAGTTTAACCTTTCAAAAATGGCTGACTTAACCAAGGCTGAAGAAAAGGAAGTGGAGAAGAGTTTGGATGAAGAAGCGGAGAGAACATCTCATGCTTCAGAGTCAGATTCAGGTATCAATTTGGAAGGCAATAGCTCAACTTCAGGTACAACGCACTCCACCGAAAATGAGAACAAACTTGCTAGTGGTGATCAGGGCAGTGGCCTGAAAAGGAGTGCATCAGATGTTGAAGATGAACCTCCTAAGAAAGTTCCGGTGAGTATTGTTCAGTTTAACAGAATGTTGGCATGAACGTGTGGGTAGCTTTGTTGCAGTGTAGTGGATGCAGAAGTTATGTTGGACTAAAGAAGAGGAAGAGGGTCAGTAGAAGTCAGTGTGTTTTTTATGTTGAGTTTTATCCTGTGTGTTACTCTAGTTATCTGTGTGTGAAAGAGTTTCTTCCCTAAGATAATTTGTCCTTTTATTTCCTGAATAAAATATTGTAAAATTTGGAAAACTTCAGAAAGTGCATCCTTTTCAGTATGGTTTGTTAACAAACTGAAAGGTTTGGAGATGCTTTCTTTTGTTTCTTTTTTGTTTAAGATTGTGTAGGAACAGCAGAAAATATTTGCCTTTCTAATTGAATGGTGAAAAAGAGAAGCAATCTTTTATATAAGACTTTTTCTTGTTGCGTACGGGTTTGTAGAAAGTAATGCTGTTTTCTCATCTGGTCTAATTTTAACCTCTGGGAATATTTAACTGCAACTTTAAAATGTTTTTAACCTAATGCTTTGTTTCTCTGTAATTTTTACTGCATTTTAACTTGCACAGTCTGGGAAGGTAATACCTGTTGTTGTGTTAGAAGCACCCTTTCATCTTTTTAATAAAGTACATGCAGGATCAGATTTAGATGGACAAATAATCCATTGCTTTTGTGTAGCCTAAGGGTGTAGAGAAGTGATTACACTGAAATCAGCTGCCAACAATCTGGATGTTACTGTAGTTTTCTCCTTGTGGATGCAGCAGCTGAGAGGCCTTGGTGGATTATATGTATGTGTCTCACATGCTTGTCAAAGTCACCTTCAGCAGCTATTCAGCAGGCCACCTGTGCTTTTCCTAAAAAAGACTAGAAAGGGACAAAGTATTTGTTAGTCTCAGTCAGCTAAGGGAGGTAATAAATAGATGATGAGGTTATACTGTTCCAGACAAGAAAGTCCGTGTACATGCTTAAGTTTTCAAAAATGGTATAAAACACTGAAGAACTAATGTAGCTTATTAAAGTCTGTGAAACCTTCTTTTCCCTTAAGAAATTGGTATGTCATTGATAAGGTATCAGGGTGTTGACTTTTGTTGTGGATTACTGTTGGGAGGGCTTTCCATTGGAATGTAAACTCATAGTGGCTAGAATTCTGTGGCATGTTTGTGAGTTTTGACTGAGAATTCTTCAGTTTGTTTGTCCAGTTAGTTGCTTTTGTGCTTCACAGAATTTCTGTTGGTTCTCAGTGTTCTGTTATTTTATTTATAATTTTTTTTTTTCCATGTGTTGTGTATACAACTGAAGATTGTTTTTAAGATGATGAGATGTTTGGAGCTATTATATGCAGTTATAAATGCTTTTCAGTATCATATGGGGCTTTTATTTTCAGCTCGTTATGGTGAAGCTAAACCAGAGATATTTCTATAGCTAGATAAATGCTAAATGGGATACTCTTCACCGAGTCATTATTCTCTTTCATACTGTTCCTTCTCTCTACAGAGTGGGGCAGGCCATGGGCAAGCTGTAGCTGCACATTATAATGAGCTTCAAGAAGTTGGGTTGGAGAAACGCAGCCAGAGTCGCATATTCTACCTCCGAAACTTTAATAACTGGACAAAGAGTGTCCTCATTGGTAAGTTTTCTCACCTAATTGCTTAAACTTTAATGAAATGGTTTGTTTTTCATACTATTATTTTCATACTATTTTAAAAGAGAAAGGGACAGCTTTGAATCATAAATAATCTGTTCTTGTTAGATTGAGCTTTTATTGCTATTTGAATCTATCTCAATCAGTTTCTAAACTACTCTCAAAACAGTCTGTCCTTAGGTCTTGAACACACAAAATATTTTTTGTGATACCGAAGTCAGCAGTTTAAAAAGATGAAAAACTAGAGAAGAAGCAGCTGCTTTTTACATAAAGCAATATCTGTTGTCCACGGATTGGTTTCCTCACTCTGGAATTAAAACTTCCAACAAGGGAAAGATTTATCAGCAGAGCAAATTCATGGGGAGGGAGCTATGCTAAGGGATGTTGTTACCATTTGTCTTAGCATGCTGTTTTTTCTTGTGTTTTATCAGAACAGTTAAAAGCAGTGTTTAGGTTTATGTAAAGCTGTTCTTGAAATCTGTGGTCAAGCCTTTCAGTCACAGTCTATCTCATTAGTCTGGCATTACAGCTGTAGTCTCAAAACATACTTTCGTCTCTTGCTGTGAAGTTGCTAGCATGTCATTGTTTTCCTAACACCAGCATTAGCACAGAGACTCTAGACAGAGCGGAGATAGAAAAGAAAATTAAATTGGTACATGTTGAGTAAAAAGACAGTGGAACACAGAACAAGTGGCTAGTGTTGTTGCAAGGCCTGGGAAAGACCAAGTGGGGAACATTATGCAAGTTTGTAACGTGACTGCAAGAAAAGGTCGTGGCTGACATGTTTAGTTGGCTTTAAATCTTTTAGCTTTCACACACTTAAAAATAACATCTGCCTTCACTGTAGTGGTAAAGAAAGGGAACTCTGTTCTCTCCTTGTGCATGGAGCAGTTGTTTAGTGATTGCTGTTTTGCTTTTGTTTGCCAAGGACGTAGTTCATTGCTCCAGTCACATTACAGGCAATGTACAGAATGTACAGAAAATATGTTATCTTGTTCTTTGTCCTAACAATTTGTAGTTGTTACTTTCATCATTTAGTAGTTTCTAGCACAAGGAGTTTAAGTTTGCAGTGTTAAGAAGACTGAAGGGCAAAGTAAGTTCTTAGATGGTTTAAAATCCTTAAACCTCTTTGGTCCTCTATGGATCCGTGTACAATAGAAATAAGTCACAGACTGTATGAGCATTCTGTCTTTTATTTTCCTAGGGGAATTTATAGACCGTGTACGACAGAAAAAGAGCGATATTACTGTTTTGGATCTGGGATGTGGCAAAGGTGGAGACTTACTGAAATGGAGGAAAGGCAGAATTAAAAAACTTGTCTGTACAGGTAAGAAGGCACAGTAACTTTCTGGGGAAAATTCACTGGTGTTATGAGGAAAAAAAAGAATGTCTCCGGTCATGTAGTGTTTCCTTTTTTATGGTATGCCCTGGAGTGCATACACCTTTTGTCAAAAAGACTTATTTTGTATATTAACTTGAAGAAACTTGTTTTTTTTGCCAGCATACACAGAATATTAATCGTTCTTATTATTATGAAATTCCAGTTCAACTCTTAAATAAAAACTAGTATTAGTAAAGAAGCGCATTGTTATCACTGGTTGTGTTAGGTGAAAGTTAGGAGAAGTGGCTGATATTTTGTATTTTGTCTTTTCTCTGGTATTCTCTACTATTTTTTGAACTGTTCTGGAAATATGCATATAAAACTTGCATTTAAAAAAAAAATGAACAAACCCTACAATGCTGTGACAAAAACTGGTCTTGGTTATTGTAGTCAGACTCAGAAAGGGGAAGAGCTGGAAGTTGTTTAAATAATTTTTTAATAGTTTGCTTAGGTAATGGGAAGATCACAGAATCACAGAAACACCAAGGTTGGAAAAGATCATCCAGTCCAACCATCCACCTATCAACAATAGTTCTCACTAAACCATGTCCCACAACACAACATCCAAACATTCCTTGAACACCTCCAGGGTTGGTGACTCCACCAGCTCCCTGGGCAGCCGATTCCACTGCCTGACCACTCTGACCACTCTTTCAGAGAAGGAAGATGTTATCTTCCCTTCTCTCAAAAAACATTCTAGGTATAATCAGTCAGAAGAAGCATTGCTTAGTTTCAAATTTAATATGTACCAAAATTTCATACTGTTCCTTTCTTGAGAATTATTCTGGGTATTCTACATTTTATAGGTCTTTGCTGCCTTTCTTTTTTCAGTTGGCAGCCTTCAAATACAGTCAGTGAATTTGCTTACGGAGACCTTATGTAAATAAATTATCAGTTGTGCATTGCTGGTTTTAAAATTTCTCCAAAGTGTCATTATTCAGTGAAACTCTGCTTGTGAAGGAAATAGCCTTAAAAGGAGAAAAATCTCTGAATGTATTTATTTGTAATGTATACTCATATTTCAACATCTTGTGTATTTGTAAAAAGGTAAAGAGTTTTCAGTACTGATTGAAAAATGCCTTGAAGCTTTACTGATTTAGCTAATCCAAAGTAGACACTTAATGCTTGCAGCACTTAGTATATCATGTGAAATTTTGAAAGCATTCTTTGCATTCGCGAGGATGGGAACTTTGTAAAATCATAGAATCCTTAGAGTTGGAAGAGATCTTTAAAGGTTTTCTAGTCCAACTGCCCTGCAGTGAACAGAGACACCACAGCTACATCAGGTTGCCCAGGGCCTGATCCAGCCTCACCTTACAAGTCTCCAAGGACGGGGCATCCACCGCCTCTCTGTTCTGTTGCCTCACCACTCTCACTGCAAAAGACTTTTTCCTTGTATCTAATCTAAATCTACCCTCTTTAAGCTTGTAGCCATTTCCCCTTGTTCTATCACCCCTAAAGAGTCCCCACTAAAGAGTCTGCCCCCTTCTAAAATCTAGTGGCTTCAACTTCTATTGGTGTTGGAGACCGAAAACAAACAGAAGTTGTAATCTCAGATGCTACCTGCAAATGAGATTTTCTCTACAAGCTGGGCATAAAACTTCATGTCAGACTATAACTGGAGATCAGCTTTAATTTGTGGCTTTATGACTCTGCAGTGTTCCAGTAATCGTTCTAGTTTTCTTGTCTGGGGCGAGGTTTACATTTCTGTTTATTTTTAAAAATCTCTCTCTATAGATATTGCTGATATTTCTGTGCAGCAGTGCAAGCAGCGATACGAAGACATGAAAGCCCGATGTCGCTACAATGAACGTATTTTTGATGCAGAATTTATACAAGCAGATAGTACCAAGGTAGAGATATGGATTATAATACTTCTGGGATTTAACATTCTTTTGTTCAGCCAACATAGGAAGTGATGGTAGCTGTGTAGTATCCAGCTGTTGTTTTATATTTTTTAAATCAGATTGTTTTACTATTGGGAGAGTCAACCATACAGATTCTTACAAGGTTGCATAAAACTATGTTAAATGTATTTGCTGTGAAGTGCAACGTTCTTGAACTTGATTGTCTTTTTCAGGTAATAAACCTGTTGCTTTTGGTTTCTTTCATTTGATGAGGGAAGGGAATGAGTATTTGTTTCTGGAGTTCAGGAGTCCAGCATGGGGTAGTGAAAACTATCTCGGTGAAAGTGTTTTCCTGCTGGAGCATAAGGGGTGCTTTGTAATTTGACTTGTACAGTTCATTTTGCATATTGCAGTATTTTTTCTAGTAGCATTTTAATTACTACAATATTTACCTTCCCTGAGTGAGGAAGTGAATGAGAAGTCTGAGAGGGAAGAGAAACTGAGCTAGAACTGCTAACTGTGAAACGTTAGCACATCATGGGCCCTGGAGAGAATTTTCTTGCTGCTTTGTTATTTTCAATTGCTTTTAGTTCTGTAGCCAGAAAAGAGAAGCTGGAAAACTGCTGGAGTACATGGCCAAACTGTATCCGTTCCAAGAGCTCCATGTTCTCCAGAGTTACTGGTTATTTAGATCAAAGGAAGAGGGGTGTGTAATTATGTATGTATGTACGTATTTGAAAATACAAACAAATGCAACTTGGTTGGCATGAAAATTGCTATATTTAATAGAACTCCTCCAATAATATGTGTAATGGATATTTTCCTAGCAAAAGGAATGTCAGTTGTCATTACAGAGACATAGAAAAGTGAAAGCATGTTTTATTATGATGATTGTTTCTGTCCAAACTGTGAATGGTTATGAAATCTTAAGCAGTAAATTATCTCTAGAAATTTCTAGGGAACTTTTGACTTTTCAGATGTAGTGATGTAGTTACTTGATGACATGAGGAGAATTTTAGGACATAATTCTTTTATCATGATAACAAGTTTTTTCTGTGTTACCAGTGAGCTTTTTCTTTCTCTTACCTTTTTTGTCTCGTTTTCGTTGAACTTGTGAAGGAGTAGATATTGTGACTTGAAAGAATTATGGGAGTAGTAAATTTTGCTAGAAGACTTAATGAATCATGCTTGTTTGTGTAGCTTTTGTCACAAGTGCTTTTTTCCTTTTTAATTTCAGGATCTTCTGTCTTCCAAATACAGTGATCCAGACATACGCTTTGACATTTGCAGCTGTCAGTTCGTTTACCATTACTCATTTGAGACATATGAGCAGGCTGACATGATGCTTAAAAATGCCTGTGGGAACCTCTCTCCTGGAGGTTATTTCATTGGCACAACTCCAAATAGCTTTGAGCTTGTGTAAGTGCTTTTTTAGCCTATTAATCTTCTAAAAGTCTGTGAAGTATTGTCAAGTCATAGTTGTTCTTACATTGCTCTGATACACTTGTGTAAACAAAACTGAAATTTTTGCAACAGTTTTGGATTCTAGTCAGGAAAATCTCTCTGGTTAACTTAAACAGGTAAACTTGTACTGATTCTTGTCTCTGGTACTGATTCTTGTACCCATGGCTTTTCTGGAGTCAGTGTGGATCTTCATACACAAACCTTTGGTAGTGACTTAAATAATGGCAAAGTAGTTGAAGCCTGGACAGCAGCTGTCAGGATTTATTATAGTAATACCAATAAACATGCTTTGAGCCTGTAGACTGTGCCTGGGCTAAATATTTTTCTAGATCTATATGTTTCTGGTTTACTGTAGAGGAATGATAAACTTTTAGAATGTAGTATGCCTCTTAATTTCATTTCATTTTCATTGCTTTATTGGATTTGGAATGTGGGAAAGTACAGGAAAACTGAACAAGGTGATACTGAGGAAAAAAACATTTTGAGATCTCTTGTGTGTTGTTTTCTTCATAAAATTAAAATCATATCAATTACTGTTTATCTCATTTTATAGAAAGCGACTTGAAGCTTCAGAAACAAATTCATTTGGGAATGATGTATACAGTGTAAAATTTGAGAAGAAGGGAGAATATCCTTTGTTTGGCTGCAAATATGATTTCCATTTAGAAGAAGTTGTTGATGTCCCTGAGTTTTTGGTTTATTTTCCGTTACTGGAGGAGTAAGTTGAATTTTGAATTCATGATATAATGAAAGCAGCAAAACAACATAAGTATTTATATAGCTTGTGTATTTCTGCAAATCACTGCAGAGAATCTTATTTTGTCTTTCTTATGTCTTTCTGTTCTTTGTTTTCTTGGATTTCTATCTAAGATTGTAATCTAACATCTGTCCATTGCTCTCAAATGAAGGTGCCCTGGTCAGTGGCTGCAAAGACTTATCCTGGATTTTGTGTAGGAATTTCTGTACCTGGTTGATCTTGCTTGTCTTTTCCAGCCTTTGTTTGAACTTTCATAGATTTTTTTTTTTCCTTCTTCTAAGTTTTTTTTCTGTGAGCACCATTTTGCTGTTACCACTGCATTAGTTCAGATTGGCCTTTCCCAATCTATTGTTTTCTGAGATACTGACAAATGTTTCCAAATTGTTTTTTCTGTGCCATTCAAGCTCAATATGAATGTAAAGCAATGTTGAGCTTTCCCTTCAAATCTGTATATTTTCACACACTTTGTTTGCAGTTCTCTGTGAAGAGTATTAGCATTAGTTGCTGGTGCCTGTAGCTTCAGTGTTGTATAACAAGTGTAAACATATAATCAAGATGTAAGGCACTAAAAATAGTAGGAAGAGGATTCCTTGATAAATACATAATAGCTGATGTGGCAGATGTTGATTACTGACTTGAGTCCTGGAGATGTTTTTCTGTTGAAATGTTTATGATGACTTCTGTATAGATTTTTGTTGTTTAATTAAAAATAAAAAAGTACACATTATGATGATAATGCAGTTATTTTCATCCAAATGAGTTTACTAAAAGAATTTTAGAAAGATTGTAATCCCAGTGAATACCATGAGGTGTCACTGTGGCTTAAAATGGGTCCTTTGAAAATGAAGCTACAGTAATTTTATTTCTTTATGAAAATTATTTTGACAGAATGGCAAAGAAGCATGGTATGAAGCTAGTTTACAAAATGACATTTCGGGAATTTTATGAAGAAAAAATCAAGAATGAGGAGCATAAGATGCTGCTAAGAAGAATGCAGGCCTTGGAGGTAAATGTGGAGTTAACATCTTTCTTTCAAATAGTATTTTATATCTTGTTAATTATTTGTGAAATAACTGAAATTCCTGTTGTGGATGTTGTGCAATTAAGGACCACCTTAAGTACTGAAAAGTACTGACTGAACTCCTGTGGCTGAAAAGGGTGATTATGATGAGTTATCTTGGCTGGCTGCCAGATGCCCACCCAGCTGATTTCTCACTTCCCTTCTTAACAGAACCATGACAGGGAGTTTAAAGAAAAAAAAAAAAAAGACAAAAAAGTTCATGGTTTGAGATAAAGACTTAAACCCTGAACCTTTTTGCCTGAAAGACTGCTTACTAATTGTCATCATTTGCAATCCAAACTCAATTTAGGGAAGATTAATTTACTGAAAATTTAAAAAGAACAAAAGAAAAAAGTATGGTGGGAAATGAAGATACACCCCACCGACCCTTTCTTCTCTGGCTCAACTTTACTCCTTCGTTCATGACTCCTTTACCTGCTTCCCTTGACAGAGTGGCTCCAGGGGATGAGGACTGTGGTCATTCCATAACAGCTCCTTTCTGCTGCTCCTTCCTCCTTACACTTTTCCCTTACTCCACTGTGGGTCCTTCTTATAGGCTGCAGTTTTAAAGAACTGCTCCAGGTCCATTTCATGGGTTGAAATGCTTTAGGAATACTTTGAAACCTAACTTCTCCAGCATAGGCACCTCTCTTACATGGGCTGCAGTTTCCTAGCTTCCTTCATGGATTATCCACCAGTTGTGTGTGAAGTCCTACACCATCTGCAGCATGGATACCTGCTGTTATGTCTGCAACAAGGATGATTTAGTTCTCAGTCTGCAAGGGAACAGCCTGCTTCACCTTGGTCTTCTCTGTGGGCTGCAGGGGAATGTGCCTCCAGTGCTCCTGCCTTCTCAGACCTTTGTGTGTGCACCTGGTAGAGAGCAGTTTTGTAGATAAAATTTTAGTTTTGAAGCAAGTTTGTTTTTATTAACTAGTAAGTAGAAGTGCATGTTTACTGGTGTTACTTGACCAAGCATGTTGGTTTCTGTAATTTTGCACAAAAACACAAAGTTCATGCTTGTTATCACACCGTAGGAACTGTAATCCCAATCTTCTTCAATAGCAAAGCTGAAAGTTAAGCCTTAATGCAAGAAGTACTGATTGAAAAACAGAAACTAATCTTTGTAGGAAGAAAAGGAAGGATGTGTTTATAGAGAGAAAAATAAAAGAAACTTAACTGTAACTGAGTTTGTATTTTTGTCCAGTGGTTTTGCTTTTTATCCTTGTTATTGTTATAAAATTGTTATACTTGGTGATGGTAGCAGCTTATGGGGAACTTTTTAATGAGGGTTTGGCTTCAGTCACTGTTCCCTATGCTCCCCTCTTCCCATCAAAAGGCAAAATTTTTCAGCATAAAGCTATCTAGTTGAGTATGTGGTGACATTAAGCTTAGTCATGTGGGCTGTAAGTAGACTTCAGTGCCTTTGTTAACTCTAAAGCAGATGGTGTTCATACTGCCAGTAACATGGCAACAGACCATCTTATATATCAGCATCTTTCTTAGAAAAGTAGAGCTGTCTACAATTAGTGGCTACGTCCAACTGAAGACAACAATGTTAAGTATAGGCTGCTTTGCAGTAACAGGTATCCCTAATAGTATATTCTGGTTCTGCAGAAACAGGAGTATAATTCCGTTTATAGCTCCTTTGTGTTATTCAGGCACTTTAAGCATTCTTCTTGAAGTCTTACAGTTACTTTGTTTTCAGTAGTTCTACTTCACTGAGTTCTCTGACCAAGACTCTCAACTCCATCAGTTGCTGTTCTGAAGGAGTATATATCTAGTTTGTGTTCATAATGAGCTACGTGTGGAGCATAACTTTTATTGCTTATTCTGTCTGCCCTTTTTCAGACATGCAGTGGATGAAAGTTAATTTATAAATTCTGAGTATTAGATTTTCTGGGAAAACAGGTAAGTGTTGGACCTGATCAGATGGGTGCTTTGGAAAGATGTAAATGTAACATATTTTAGTAATTAATGACCTCCATTTTGGGCCATACTGTTGCAAACCCTTGCCTGATATGACTAGTGTATCATATACCAAATTAATATTTTTTTCTTGTTTTTCTGTTTTCTGCAGCCATATTCCACATTTGGTGATTCCAGGCTTGCCTCTGATAAACCTGATGATTATGAGCATGCAAAAGAGTTTATCAAAGACGGCAAGGCAAAGTTACCACTGGTAAATATTCTCTCACCTGGTGTCTAAATCGAGGCTGTAGTCTTGTAGATGTTTGGTACCTTCTTCATTTCAGCTGCAGTGAAATTGGTGTGAATCTTCTACTTATGTTCTGAATATGTACTTCTTTTACTAATATATATATATATATATATATATATATATATAAATAAATAAATCCTGCATTGAGTGGGACCATTTAAAATCCAAAAATTACAAAAAGGAAGTTTCCTCTTTTAAGAAACAAAGCTTAAGAGTGTGAGGATGGCTGAGTCAGACCAAAGATCTCTATTGCCTGATACTCTTTTAACAGTTTGCCAGTAGCTGTTGACTGGGAATAAGTGTAAGAAGAAAGTGTAAGTGCTATGTTACCTAAACAAGTCTTTTTTATAATGATTTTTAAAAGACGAGTTGTTTAATCAGCACTAGTTGGTAGGTAGTGTATTGATTAAATAAAGCCCCAAATGAAGGCACAAAAAGATCTTGTTCCTTCTTATTTTGTACTACTTAACTGATAGGGTAAGCTGGTAGCAGCTTTTTTCTTGTTTCCACTTCTGCCATGCTTTCATCTGAAAGACAGAATGAGAAGTGGACTTTCTAGTGCTGCCAGGCAGGTTTTTTTTTTTTTTTTTTTTGTATAGCACATGAACTGGCTTGGGAGTTGGTCTGCAGATAGTGCTTTTGTGGTGTGGAGGGAGGTGGAGGCTGGCAGTATTCCTGGGGAATGTGGCAGTCCTTTGGCATCTGCGTGAGTGCTGGGCAACTTCAACCAATGAGCAGTAGGGTCACACTGACTTGCAGTATTAGACCCAGTGTGGTCCTTCATTGTAGAAGCACTGAGCCCAACAGTCTGGTGTTCCTTTTCTGCTACACCTGTGTAACGTAAGTGTTTTCCATTATCAGGACTATCCCAGTTCCCCATCATTCTAGTTAGTGGAGTTGTATGCATCTGTGATCTACTGTAATGCTTGTCTAATGCCTGAAAACCCATTTAATATGAGTAGTTAGAAGTTGGTCTGTGAAAGATTGATTACTCTGAGTTAAACAGATTTTTAATTGTTTTCTCATTTTTTTGTTTGAACTGGTTTTTGTATCCTCTTCTAGGGAACACTGAGTAAATCTGAATGGGAAGCAACAAGTAAGTATTGTTTTGAGAACTTGGTGTTAACTGAGTGACTGCTGTGGAAAGCATATTAAAATAGTCTGTCAACTATGGAAGAAAATGCATATTTTAAATGGAACAAGATTTTGTTATGTTTTTTAAATGCCCATAGATAGATTAGATCATGCAGACATCTCAAGAAAATTGGCTGGGGGGAATGCATAGGTTGAAATTTTGTGTTATGTTTGTAGCTTCTAGCATGCAGACTTTTGAGCCAGAAACACTTCAGGGAAGCTTTTCTTAGCGTTTGAAAAGAGGATGCTAGTGTAAATCTTCTAATACCAGCAAAATAATTCTTCAGATATGACACTTATGTGTACATGGATGTTATACCATTACTGGAAAACAAATTGGAAAAGATTTGGAACATGCATTCATTTAAAACAAAACAAAAACAACTCTGATCTGGGAAGACTGACTTGAACTGTACTTTTTGCCCGCAGTGGTTAATATGTTTCAGAAAGAAGCAATTAAAGCATGGATGGTGAAGAGGGGTTTGGATGTTTTATAAAGGGAGAAATCAGTGCCTCACACAGAAAAGGATACAATGTTATTAAATATGCTTTGAGTTATGTAAGGATGTTTCAAGGAAAACATTTGCTATGTTTTTTTTTTCAATATCGAAATATTGAAAAATACTATGAAATATTTACATATAATAGAAATTTCTAAGGGTAAAAATTGTCTCCAGGGAGACTGTTATTAACTGATGTGTAACTGTAGCCAACCAATAATTGCAGTTTTTCAGACCATTGTATCTGTTGTGTTAGTGATTTAAAATAAAAAATGCAAATCAATTAATGAGTGGAAAAAAATCTTAAGGTGTTTACTTTTTAAAATTATTACTGGTGTGATTCTTAAGGTAAAAATTTATTGAAGCAGTGTTAAAGTATTAAGTAATCTACATATCTAATTGAGAGAGACTTTTTATGCATCTAGAATTTCAGTGATGACTGTATCTCCACAGTTCTAGCTTATTTATTCCCCAGAGAGATTTAAAATCATCAGAAACTCTATTTCAGAAGATAAACACAGCTTGTTCATTATTTTTGTTTGCATTATTGCTGAGGAATATAAAATAGGCTTGTCTTGAAGGATTTGCAGTGTACCAAGGCATCCATTAAAACAGATTCTGAGTTTAACTGGAAATCCATTTATTTTTGAACTCACAGTGCTTTAACATACCTGTCTGGTATGAAGCATAAGAACTTCTGAAATAGCTGGCATTGATTAAATGCCAAGTAAGTATTTTCCAATTTGCTGCTGTGGACTTGTCCGTTTCTGAAATTATACTGTTTTGCAGTTGAGAAAATGCCATCTGGCATTTTTAAAATATCATGGATAAAGAAATATTTACAAGAGGAAAATTGAGTTTTGTATTATGGATATATTCATCTTTTAATTGAAAGTGTGGTTGATCATTTGACCCCTAATTGTCATTACTGCCTGTATAAAGAAGTCTTTAAACTTAGTTGTATGTGATGTCTTATGCACCAGGGAATGTTAATTATGTGTAAAATGGTTGAGTGATCTAAGCAGCACTCACATTTCAGTAGTATCATTAACTGAAGTTGCTGTTGCATCAACAATATCAGCAGTGCTTAAAATATTTGCCTCTATGCACACTTGAAGCTCTATCTTGAAAATATGTCTAAAACCATGCTGGAATTGAATGCTAGAGATACCTGTTGGGAAACCATGGCAGTTCTTATGGTATCAGCAGTATGTTAATGGCTTGTTTGGGCAGAATGCAAACCAGCTTAAATTTTGAATGTTTTACATGAGCTGGGGAAGAAAGCTAAAACTTGAAATGCTCAATTTTTTTTTCTAGGTATTTACTTGGTATTTGCCTTTGAGAAGCAGCTGTGAAACTTCACGTACCAGACTCAGCAAGAAGAGATCATATCCATGTGCAAGTTGGAGCAGTCAGAATTCCATTGTGGCAACTATTTTTTTATTTTTATTTTTTAATTATCAGAAGTGTGCAGGACACTACCAAAAATGAGAGCAAGCTCATGATTCTGAGTTACATTGCCTGTCTGTGACAGATGGACTTGTGTGTGTATATATAAGAAAGATTCTGAACCAGTCTTTTTAAGCATTTGTAAGCAATCTGAATGCTCTCAAAACTTATGTTTGAACTTGACAACTGTTATAAAAAAATGTTTTGTTAGTCTTGTGTTTGTGCTTACTAGCCTGATGCTGCACTTTCTGAAGTTGATGGAAAATTACTGTTAACTTCAGTGATGTAGAATGAGGGCCTAAATATTGTAATGCAAAGCTCGGTTAGTTCATAATATGGTAGATTCAGACATGTAGGGTATGTCTACATTGCTTGCAGAGCTAAGTGACAAACAATACCCAACTCAGTTTGAGTACTACTTATGTGCTGTGCTCCTGCCTGCAGTGTAAATCTACCTTAGAGATATTCATGGTATAGTTTACATAGTAAAGTTTCATGATGTTTTTAGTTGTTTTTTTTTGCTTGCTGATATATAGTGTCACTTCATGGTGCATCCAAGATTAAATAAGTTTGTTCTGTACAAAGCTGCTCTAAAATAATTGAATTTCTGAACTTTTAAAAATCTTTACATCGTTTTTCCAAGTATGACTATACAGTAATCAATAACAGTTGCTGAGCTTAAATTACTGAACATTTTCTATTATATTAAAGACTGTCCTGACCTTTTCATAATTTTAATGTCTCTTTGAAACTTACTAGATGGATCTTAGGATGTGTCTTGCTTGTTTCGTAAAATTCCAAATGGCTTGGCAGAAGAATTAGCTCTTAGTGGTGATGGGGATTTCACTTAAAGCATTAAGAACATGATCATGAGCTAAAAAGGGAACCTGTATAATAGTTGAGGGTACTGGAATTTCACTCTGGTAGGGATGGTTGCATATGTGCGCGCACACCATCGAATATAAACTGATGCTCTTGATAGGCAGAATGGTACCTAACTCCTGTCCTACTCTCTGCCATTCTGTTGGACCTGGCTTGGGGATTTCTGGTGTGGTGTTTAGTCCTCCTTCATTATGCTGGTAGCCACCTGGTAGTGAGAAGATGAGAGTTACTTCAGGAATTTTCTCTCTCTTCTTGAGCTAAGAGGTGTTTTTTGATGATGTTGGCTATTCTAGTTTACATACAGATTAATCAATAGTGTTGATGGTACGCAAGTATTTTTTCCAAACCTATAATAAACCTAAGAAAGAACAATGCTATTAAACATTCAGATTATTTGAGTTTGTAGTTGTAGAGCCTTTCCTCTGTAAATTAGGTCAAACACTTTCCTCTAACTCTTGATTTTTAATTTTTAATTTTCTAGAAGATTATGTTTAACCTTCACTAAATCAGTAGTATCACAGTCATGAGTTCTACTAAATTTATTTTTAAAAGATGATTTTTTTTAACTAGAAATTGTACTTAAGAAACTACCTGAAATTTGCCAACACTTAAGTGTTGAAAGGTTTCACTGAATTTTTTTTGCATCAAAGCTGTTTTGTTAGATTTCTTATCAAGTTTCATTTGAAAGTGCGTAGTTTTGCTATTTTTAGAAGATATTACAATAATAAAAAGGGGAGAAATACAGAGGAGTGTTTTCCTCTTCTAAGCTAATTTCAGCATATTGGAAATGAAAACTGTGGAATGGTTGAGATATGAAGGGGCACCACTGGAAGTCTGAACTAACTTTTCCCCATTCAAATAGGCAACTTGTGCCATTGCTTGGTCACTCCCATGGTAAAGATGTGTTTGATGTTTAGATGGCACCTCCTGTGTTTGTGCCATTTACCACCAGTCACACTTTACATATTTGCTACCTTTTTGGCATGGGCATGCTTCTCCTTTGACTTGTGTTCATTTGGAGTCTGCCAGAACCCCTAGTTCCTTTTCTGCAAATCTGCCTTCCATCTGGGTGGCCCACAGCATGTACTGGTCCTGTTGTTGCTCTTCACACAGTAGAAGGATTTAGCACTTAACTGAACTGTGTGAGGTTCCTATTAGCCCATTTCTTCAGCCTTTGAATAACTGCAGAACCCTCTGGTGTATTTGCCACTCCTCCCAGTTCTGTGTTATTAGCAAACTTGTTGAGGTTGTACTCTACCCATCTAGATCATTAATGAAGATGTTGAACGGGATTGGATCCGGTATTGATCACTTTGGTAACTGCTAGTTACAGGCTCCCAACTAGGCTTTGCACCACTGATCACTATGCTCTGGGACCATCTCTTCAACTAGTTTTGTTCACCTCCTTATCTGCATTACCAGACTGTACTTTGCCAACTTTTTCTATGAAGATCTTAGGAGAGACAGTATCGAAGGTCTTCCTGACCTCTACATAGACAATATCCACTATGCTCCCATCATGTACCAGGCCAGTCATTTCATAGTTAATCAAGTAGGTCAAACTTAACTTCCTTTTGGTAAATCTCTACTGACTATATTCTTATCCTTCACATGCTGGAATTGGTTTCCAGGATTGGCTGCTCCATTACCTTCCAGTGATTGAGGTGACTGGCCTTCTTGATGGGAGCGGCACTGGATTTTACTAGTCTGTGGGTGCCTCTCCTAGTTAAAAAGATCATTAAAGGATTATCAAGAGTGGCCTTGCAATGACACCAGACAGCTCCCTCAGCACTAACAGGTGCATCCCATCAGGGCCTATAGACTTCATATGTCCTATTTGTTCATATATTCCCTGAACTGATCCTCTTCTATCATGGGTACATCTTTCTTGTGCCAGTTCTTCCCCTGGTCTCTGGGACCTAAGGTTTGTGAAAGACAATCTTACTCATAAACACAGACAAAGAAGGCATTCAATTTCTCAGCATTTTTTTCTGTCTTCTGTCACTGGGTCCCCCATCCCATTCAGCAGTGCGTCCACGTTTTCCCTACTCTTGCTTTTGTGACTTAGGTATCTACAGAAGCTTTTTTCAGTGTCTGACATCCTTGGCCAGATTCAATTCAAGTCGGACTTCTGGACTTTCTAAATGCATCTCTTTATACTTGGACAGCATCTGTATTCCTGCTAGGTTACCTGTCCCTGCTTCCACTGTTTGTATGCATCCTTTCTGTGTTTGAGTTTTGCAAGAAACAAATTGCTCATCTATGTGGGCTCCTTAACATTTTTCCTGACTTCCTACTTGTTAGGATAGACTACTTCTGAGCTTGTGGGAAAGTGATCCTTGAATATGAAGCTTGCTTATATGGGCCCCTCTTTCCTCCAGGACCTTAACCCACAGAACTCTTCCAAGCAAATCTTTGAAGAAGTCAGTCTGCTGTCCAGCATTTTGACTTGGCTTTTCATCCTCTATCTCGCTCTCAGGATCCTGAACTCAGCCATCTCATGATCAATGCAGCCATGACTACTTTTAATCTTCATTTTCCCAACCAGCCCCTTCTTGGTAAACACTATGTTCCTCAGAGCACTTCTCATTGTTTCTTCTATCACTTGGGCCAGGAAGTTATTAGTACTCTCCAGTAATCTCCTTTTGCTTTTGTCCTGCTGCGTTTGTCCCTTGGATATCAGGGTGGTTGAAGTCTTACTTGAGGACCAGGGCCTGTGAATGTGAAACTGCTTCTAGCAGCCTGTAGAAAGACATCCACTTGTTCTTTGTTGTTAAGTAGCCTCTAGCAAACACCCACAGGTATGTCCATCATACCTGTCTGCTCTCTAATCTTTACCCATAAGCTCTCAGTTGGCTCACTGTCCATCCTAAGGCAGAGCTCTGTGTATTCCATCTGTGCTTTTACACAAATGACAACTTTTCTACCTCTCTTCATCTTCGTGTCTCATCCTTCCTCAAGGGTCTGTGTTCCTCGTTGCAACACTCCAGTCATGCAGTCCATCCTGGCAGTTGAGACCTGTGTTGGAACCACTTGCTCAGTTTGTGTGGAGAGCCAGCATTACTGAAAAATGTTTTTGCTTCCTCAGCCTTGAAAAAAACCTCTGTAAAGTGAGCGTATGAAAATTCTTTTTTAACTAATTGCTCTGTATGTTCAAGACTGCATGCTCTGTACGTACAGAGCTGTGTTGACAGAAAGCCAAACATCAGCGCTTTCTATTTATGAAGGATTTGATGCTCATGAAAAATGTTTGGTGACGTAAGGATGGAAGACTTGTTCAAAAATCAGGTATCTGGCTGCCAGTGGCTATTAGCCCTAACATTTTTTTTCTCCTGTCTCCACTTTTCAAAGAAGCAATTACATATTTGTTTGTGTCCTGTAGCTGAGGTTATGTGGTAATGAGTAGTGTTAGTATAGGTAATTGTTCCTTATGGGTCTTAGGATATTCTACAACCTTATAGAAGAGTGGTGAGGCACTGGCACAGCTGCCCAGAAAAGCTGTGGTGCCCCATCCCTGGAGGTGCTCAAGGCCAAGTTGGATGGGGCCCTGGGCAGCTGAGCTGCTGGGGGGCAGCCCTGCCCAGGGCAGAAGGTTGGGGCTGGGTAGGCTTTGAGGTCCCTTCCAACCCAAACCATCCTGTGGTTCTATAATTCTGTGAAAAAAATAATGACATTAAGCACTGTATTTGTGCAGGAAGTGTATCATGCTACAGTCAATTACTGTTGTATCAATGCTGTATTGTATGAGTTTGCTTTTGTGAATTACAGACCAGCGTGATAAAAATTGCTGCAAAGCACTGAAGCATGTGCTGTGTTTTGTACTTAGGTTTTAATCAAGTGCTTAAGGTGGCTTGCTGCCTGGTAGAATCTACTTGATTGACTTAATAAGCTCTCCTTGCTGCAAATTTTACGTGTACTCCTGTTACAGTGTTTGAATAATTTAGTGAACACCTCAGTCTTTTGACTAGGAGTGTTTTTCTTTTGAATCACATTTTATTTAATAAAGTACTCTCCTAATATCTATTTTTATTAAAAAGAGTAATTATATGCTGTCTTCTGATTGCTAAACTGTTTGTAAAGACTTTGAAAACTGTTAATTTGGGAAACACTAAGCTATGTAGCAAAAAATTTAGAACATCTGCAGAGTAATCAGGGGCTGATGATGAATCCACTTTTGCAAGCCACTTATTGCCAAAGTAATAATACAGCCATGGGGAGAAATGGCTTGTCTAAAATTAAACAGGATTACTAGTTGTCTTGTAATGTCAGTCCCCAGCGTTCACTGTCTGCTACAAATGGGAGCCTCTGCCTGTAAGAAAGTGAGGAAACATCTGCATTGTTACACATGAATGCAAATAAGTGTCCTGATTTTTCAGAAATGCACAAAAATCAGGTCATTTAGGTGCCAAAGACATGGAGACAACGGTTTAAGTTTTTGAACAAGAAACCTCAGTTGAAATTTAAAGAAAAACGTCTGAAATCTGAATCCTAGTGCTGATATCTATAAATACCCTGTGCTGAAATAGTTTTTCTGCAGCTTCAGTGTGTAGAATTTAATGTAGATGTGCTGGTGAAATGGCCTCCCTTACAAGATACCATCACTGTCATAGATTTATGTACTGCCTTGGATGTTTTTGTTATTTAGAAAGCAGATGTAAGACAGAACAAAGCTAACTTGATAAATAAGTTTTTGATAGGTTATAGGTTTTCTGATGGTGCATAAATGCCACTGAGATGGAAGATGTTGTCTTTTCTTCATTTTATTAAGGCTGGTTCTCAAAACTGTTGCTTTACTATTTGCTTTGATGTGTCTCCCAGCAACTGAAATTTGCTTCTAGGACAGGGTATTT